GGCATTCGCACAGTGACCCCGGACCCCGAGGCGGGGAATCACTCCCCCTCGTCCGAAGCGGAACATCTGGCTTCAAGTGCGGCCCCCTCTCCTCGCGCTGCCGCCCGTACACGAGCCTCCGATCGCGAAGCCCGTCGCGAATTTTACTCGCGCCATTCGGCCGGTGACGAAGACGAGCCGCCGCTGGAAGTGAAGACCCAACGGGCGCGGTCACGGACCACCAACTTGGACGATCAGCGCAGTGAAATCTCCAGCAATAATCTTTTTAGATCCCGGAATCGTCTGGGCTCCATCAACACCGCAACCTCCCAACCTAGAACCCCCGACGATCAAACGACGTCGATCGGGTTTCCGTCAATACAATCGCCCACTTACCTTAGCCATACCCTTGGTCGGCAGCGATCAAGCAAGCCTCCGGGAAGCTCGAATTTGGTAACGAGCGTGTCGGCCAATCAAACAACATCCCCGCTGTCGAGTACCGATGCATCCAAAATCCTGCAGCTCATGAAAACAACTTGTGGAAGGATGCACGGCATTCTTTCGTTTCGGACTGCATCTACGACCGCTTGGTCGTCGGGCTATTGCGCCATTAATGTTGCCACGGGAAGCTTGATATACCAAGCTAAAGGAGAGCCCGCATTGGCCAAAACACTGATTCCCGATCTTCGTGGCTGTCAGGTTCGCACCTTGGTCGATCCCGAGACCCGTACCAACTATCTCAGTGTATCAACCTTTACTTCTGGTCTAGGGGTGGAGCTGAAACCTCACGTCAGCGAAACATTTGATTCGTGGTTAGCTGCGCTGTTATGCTGGCAGCCGATCCGACCCAAAGGTGTTCAAAATAAGATGACGAAACCACAATCGGTGGTCATCGGTGACCGCCGCCTGGTTGAACGTAGGAGAAACTCGGAGAGCACTGTTCAGAAGGAGGCAGCAATCATCAAGGTGGGTAAAATGCTCCTCTGGGATAGGCCGAGTGCCTCTGGCGTTCGACCATCGTCAGGGCGTCGGGTTTCCACATACAGACAGCAAAGGGCACTTTCTGCGTCTTGGCTACGCGTAAGCTGTACGCTGCAGGAAAACGGCGCTTTCAAGCTATACACGGAGTCAGACATCACTCTGGTCGCTTGCATCCAATTGTCGCAACTCTCCCGCTGTGCAGTACAACAACTGCACTCATCCGTCTTGGAAGATGAATTCTGCATTGCAATATACCCGCAGTATGCAGTACATTCTGCTTCGGGCCTAACGCGCCCAGTATATTTAGCTCTTGAAAGCCGCGTTCTGTTCGAGGTGTGGTTCGTCCTTTTGCGCGCGTTCACGATCCCAGAGCTTTACGGCCCTGAAACGCCAGTAGAGGAAGAGTCTCCGAAGACTCCAGGAACAAGCGAGACAAATGTCGCTTCTACCGTGGACATGTTCCGAATCGAGAGAGTACTTGATGTAAGAGTAACGGAAGCTAAGCTATATCGCTGCAGAACCGCGGAAAAGACTCCCCGCAGTCGAAAGCAGTCCCGGTCTCATAGCAACTCGGCCCCCGCCTCTGCAGTGAGTGATTACTATACCGAAGTTCTCCTGGATGGCGAGATTCGGGCGAAATCTGCTGTCAAATACCGCACAGCAAACCCTTTCTGGCGAGAAGACTTCACTTTCAGTGACCTCCCACCCGTTCTGTCACAAGTCTCCATTCTTGTCAAGACGATCAACTCGACCCAGAAGGATTGGTCACTGATCTCGCATGGCTCTTATGCCCTCGGTCATGATTCGAACTCTCTGCGCGCATTGGATGACGTAGAACTCGCTTCTCATGATGCCACCTTTGGCAGGGTTGACTTGAAACTAGATGACCTACAGCCAGGGGTGGAAACCGAAAAATGGTGGCCAATCCTGGACGACAAAGATCAACCTGTGGGTGAAATGCTCATGAGGGCTCGGATGGAAGAGACTGTTGTGCTCATGTCGCAAGAATACACCCCGATGTCTGAACTTCTTCATTCCTTCACCAATGGTCTCACGATAAATATGGCTCAAGTCATGTCATCCGAACTTAATCAGCTTTCGGAAGCGCTTTTGAACATTTACCAGGTTTCAGGGACGACCGTCGAATGGATATCCGCCCTAGTAGAGGACGAGATCGACGGGGTGCATAAAGAGTCGACCGTAAGCCGACTACGATACACGTCGAGAATCCATTCCAACGACGCACGGGAATCAGCCCAGGACCGGGAAGTCCTCGTCAGAGACCTGGGCCGAACTGCTACTGTGGAAGCAAACCTTCTCTTCCGCGGCAATTCACTTCTGACCAAGGCACTCGATTATCATATGCGTCGACTCGGGAAGGAGTACCTAGAAGAGACGATTGGAGAGCGACTTCGCGAGATTGATGAGACTGATCCAGACTGCGAGGTCGATCCGTCTCGTGTACATCGTTCTGATGACCTCGACCGTAACTGGAGGAATTTGATTGCTCTTAGCAATGGGGTCTGGAAGTCGATTTCGGCCTCGCCCTCCAGATGTCCGGCCGAATTGAGACTCATTTTCCGCCATATCCGGGCGTGCGCGGAGGACCGATACGGTGACTTCCTTCGAACTGTCACGTACAGCAGTGTTTCCGGATTCCTATTCTTGCGATTCTTCTGCCCGGCAATCCTTAACCCGAAGCTCTTTGGATTGCTAAAAGGTATGCGCCCAACTTTTAGTCATGACTGTTTTCACCAGTGCTAATGGCAATTAGATCACCCGCGCCCTCGTGCTCAACGTACTTTAACCCTGATAGCGAAGGCTTTGCAAGGCTTAGCCAATATGACTACTTTTGGCAGTAAAGAGCCTTGGATGGAGCCCATGAACAAGTTCCTGAACACTAACCGGTCCGATTTCAAACAATTCGTGGATTCGATCTGCGCAATTCCTGCTGACCGTCCGGCGCCGATTGTGACTCCCTCTTACGCCACGCCCATTCAGATTCTGGGTCGTTTGCCCCCAACCTCACGCGAAGGGTTCCCCAGTCTACCTTTTCTGATTGATCATGCGCGAAGCTTTGCCAATCTGATAAGCATCTGGCTGGACTCGGCACCGGAGAGGCTGAACGAGTTGGAGGAGGTCGACTCTGCTGTCAGCAAGTTCCATGAGCTAGCCCTCCGGCTCCATCAACGGACAAAGGATTGCATGAGCCGAGCCGAGCAAGCTGAGCGTCCAAGCGGAAACCTAGAAGTCAAATGGGAAGAATTGATTGACTCAATGGAGCGGTCCGCGACCTTCTACGACGACAGTTCTAAGCCCACCAGCCCGACGACGGAGGCGGCCGTGGCGGGATCTACCTCGGTGACGGGCAGTCATCGCAATTCAATCGGCTATTTCACCTCACGGCCGTCCCTCCCGCGTCGATCAACTGATCACCCCCCTGAGGGTGATGAGGATACGCCACCCAGTTCTTCATCTGCGACGTGGGATCAGAGTCGAGTGCCCTTCACAATCCCTCGGTGGGCTGACCCGCGGGATAGTACCGGCAGCTCAAAAAACTCCTCGACATATTCCCTCGACCAGGAGCCGTCCAGATCTAGACGCTCCAGTATCACAAGGGAGACTACAAGCAAATATCGTTTCTTTGACTTTGTCCCCGCCACCTCTCGACGCAAAGCCAAAGATCGAGATCAAGCCCAACAGCAGTCCCGTGAAGAACAACGGAGTGAGACATGAGTATAAAAACGTCTTCATATGCCCGAACATCTACGCTTCGACGTTCATGATGACTATGGCGACCAGGAGCGGCCTGGTTGATATATGGGCTTCCCAACAAAAGCCTTGTGACGCATTCATCCTTACATTGGAGCTGAGCCCCTGTTTTGTGGAGAAACCGACTTTCCAATTCTCGAGGACAAGCCGACAGTGGGATGTGCGAACCTCGACTGAAATGCGAACCATATGGCAGGTGCCAGAATTATTGTTTGTTGTTCATCTTCTCCTTTTCTGTATAACACAAGAGATCGATTCCATTATCGAAAGACCTGCGTCTTCTGGTGTAAATTCTTCTCCTCCCCTCGCCGTTCTCTTGCCTCCATTGATTTTCCTCTCTTAAGCAGCATGTGCCCACGATCTAACGTACTTTCTTCTGTATGGTTGTCTCTTTGTTTCCTCCTGGAAAGCATTTTGTTCTGGTGTTGATACCCTGCTCCAATTGGGGTTGTTTTTGCGTCATTTGGTCCCTGGACGTGTGAACAGCCCACTGGATGGATATATTGGATCTCTTGAGGAATTGGGATGCCTCGAACGTGAGAGATGACCGACCCCACCCTTTGTTCTTCTCTTTTCTTTGGCCCCCTCTACATCTTCTCCTTGTGTAAATAGCGTCTTTTCTTCTCACCAGATTGGTCTGGGTATAGATGACACGACTACTCCATTAACTTGTTCGATACCGACTATTGGCTTTGTTTTCTGGAGTATGCGTAACCTACGAAATTACTCTGGAACTCCACCCCTCCCCTTTGGAGAAGTGGAAGTGACTGTCATACTGTCCACTCACAGGTCAGTTGGCCTGATTCTCGGGAGATCGAGTTGTCTCTCCAGTCATATCCGATAGCATGCGTAAAGTAATCATCTAGATACCTGTTCGGCATCGATGTACCCGAAAATGCCGGTCTCGCCTGTAAGCCCGGATGGAGCGCGGAAGGTCACCCGACGGCCCTCGTGAGGTTGAATTCAGGGAGGATCGGGATCGCCGTCTCTGAATGCTTATTAGTGTGAATACCCCTTCCATATCGCCTGAACTTCGTCTTCAATATTATTTAATCACAATGGTGGAGCATTAGGGTGGGCACCGTCAGGAACAAGATCAACGACCCTTGAGGAAGTACTGTTAAGGAGGGACTGGCAGTACCAAGGCAAGGAAGAACCAGGCACAGGTCCATGTCGGCAGCCTCAGATAGAAGAACGCGACGCTTTCAGCGCCCAACGCCTTCCATCGCTCCGCAGCGATGAACAGGGGCACGAAAGTTACATCGCGTTCAAGGCAAGTAGGCTAGATCTACGGCGAACGGCTGCTCCACCGGTAGCCCGATCCAGGTCAAATCGTGCAACATCTGCTGCCATACGGTCGCATCCCAATCTTCGGCCACCGCCGCCGCGAACCCTGGGGCTCGAGGGTGATCGTCGGGTGTTGGTTGCGGTGAGATAGGAGCGTTCTCAGCGTGCTGGGTAGATGGTGTTCTAGTATCTCCTCGATCTGGTGTGGAATGGGGCCGTGCCCGACTGCTCTCCAACCATGAGAGCATGGATCCGATCACTGCACGGCAATTATCCCAAACGTCATCGTTCCGGGACATTGTCTCCATCTTCTGCATAGCCGCCAGGCCGAGGTTGTGGATGTCTTTGGGACGGACGTCGACTGCCTTGCCTTTCGTCGCGGCATCCGAGAGTAGGCTCAGCTTCGATAAGACCAGCAGGCCGTACCAGATGGATGTGTAGCTGAACATGGGGAGGTTGGGGGTGACTGAAGCCGGCGATGCGAGGAATACTGTCACGGTGTTGAACGCGGAACGCGCGATGGTCAGGAGTTGCTGTTTCTCATACTGGCGAGGGTCATCCTTTTACTGCCGCAGGGCGTGTCCGAGAACAATGGCCGGCATTGCATTGAGCTCCAAGCGCAGGGCCCCTATTGAGGTGAGAAAATGGCGAAGCTATGCCTTTCAGTCGCGAGCGGGACATACAGGTATTACATTGTGTTTTCTGCACGAGAAGGTGCTCGATCCGATTCTCAAGTATGTCCATAGACTGGGACAGTTCGTCCGTGCCCATCGCATGGATAGGGTCTTCGACCTCCAGCTCCGATCGCCGAGCAAGCGATTGGATCTCAATTAGTGCTTTGAGAGACTGGTCCGTGGGATACTCCGCCCTTTGCCCTAAGCTGTGGGCACAGTAGTCGACCCAGTCCGTGTGTTTCATGATGAGCTGTCGCCGGAATATCGAGGCCCTGGTTCTGTCAGTCAATGTCTCTGGACTGCATATCATATTCACAGCTCGTACTTGGAACATAGATAATAGCACCCTAAGAAGGCACGCTGTCCGTCAGGGGTCAGATAGAGCGCTTGAGCTTTGTGTGGTTCCTCCGCCTCTTTTTCTTCGGGATAGTGGCGCTGCATTCTGAAGTTGTCGCATGTATCCAGTCCCAAGTCCACAACGATGGCCATCGCCACCTGCAAAAGCATGTACACCTGGGTATGGTAAGCGCGCCAGTGATAGTGATACCATGCGATATGGACCAGTAACCCCCGGAATAGATCCATGTCCCTCTCCATGTTCATGACTATGCGGGTCGAGATCACAGCTCGTGCTTCGAGCTCTAGTCTTTGCTGTAGATCGGGTCTATGCTCGAGACAAGCTGTTATTATGCACAGGAGAAGGAATGGAGACTGCTTGCCCAGTTCGACAAAGCTCGCTTCGGGTACAATGACGAATGGAAACAGGGGCATCAATTCTGTGCGGAACTTCGAGAGTAGCTCTTCGCCTTCAGTGATACTGAGAAGTCCCCGGGTGATTAGGTTGTGGAGCGGCTCGGGTATAGAGCTTGGGTGTGACGAAGTATTACTGATTGTAGAAGGGGATGACATTTCTGTTATAGATGCCAGTCCCGTTCTCGGGTCCTAGTCGAACCCGTTGAGATAGTCTTCTTTTTAGGTCCATGTCTCGGAAAGGGCTACCTTGTCAGTATGTAACTGAGCAACAAGTGTGTCGACCTGTTGCTGAATGATCGCAATGCGGCTGTTCCTGGAGTCAGGGAGAGAAAGGTTACCCATCAGTCTACCCCAAACACAAGGGTACAGTATATGGCTATGAGCTAACCTGATGCTTGCATTGCTGCGCGAGCTGTCTGGAGAAGCACAGTGTCGGTCGAGTCTCGCACACCGTTGACACCGTCCACTCTCAACGGGCACGCATTTCACTTTCAATTGAATGCATCGTACGCAGGCATGCCGCCTCGAGGGCGCTTGCGGAGGCATTTCTCTTTGTACTAGACAATAGCTCCGGTCTCAAGGCAACTGATTGAGGGACAGTAAGTTGACAAGCCGGAGGTAGAGAGAGTACGGAGATCAACACGGCGCGGGGTCGGAGTCGGCCTCGGAGCCAACCACAAAGCCGGGACCGGTCTCGGTCTACTAGGGGGCTATACCAACAGATTACCCGATTCGGTAATTGTTGGTATGATCCATCCAGGACCTGGACTTCGAAATCAGAAACAGCATAAAGCTGTGTCCTCATTGCCATGGACCACCCAATATAGTCTTCACAAATATATCGATCAATTATAGCTGGAAGATGTCTACAAGTCCTCCTGACGCAGCACAGCCAATCTGCCCCGTGAAGCTGTATAGCCTCTTGGCCGGGATCATGATAGCCACGTTCCTAATATCATTGGATGTCTCCATCATCGCTACTGTAAGTTCACCCTCAGTTCTTTTGTATTTCTTTGCCCTTCTTGAAACTCAAACTTACCTGTCAAAGGCCATCCCCTCAATATCAACCCAATTCCATGCTACAACAGACATCGGCTGGTACGGAGCGACCTATCCGCTCACGATGTGCGCTCTTCAACCTCTCAGCGGCAAGCTCTCCTCATTACTATCGCTGCGATGGACCTACCTCGCATTCTACGTCATATTCCTGCTCGGATCCCTGATCTGCGGCGTGGCCAACAGCTCCAGGATTTTCATCATCGGACGAGCCGTCGCGGGGGCCGGAGGCTCGGGGGTAGTATCGGGTGGCCTCTCGGTGATTGCAATGATCACCACCCCGCAGCAGCGTCCACTGTTCACGGGGCTAATTACCTCTCTTTACGCCCTGGGAACTGTAGTCGCCCCGATCATCGGCGGCGCGCTGACTGAGCATAGTACGTGGAGGTGGTGCTTTCTCCTCAACCTGCCCGCAGGAGCCGTGACGGTGGTGGCGTTGCTCTTATTCTTCCATCCCCCTGCCCCTTCCAACAATGGGGGTGTTTATCGCGCATCCCTTCTAAAGCAGCTCGACCTTCTCGGATGCGCGCTCTTCATACCTTCCATCATCATGATCATGCTGGCCCTGCAATGGGGCGGCAGCGAATACGCCTGGGGCTCGGCGACGGTGCTCGGACTCTTCGTCGGCTTCGCAGTCACGATGACAATCTTTGTCGTCTGGGAGTGCCACATGAAGGAGCAAGCCATGATCCCCATCGTGCTGTTGCGGGGCAGGTCGACCATGCTCAGTCTTGCCTTTGCGTTTGTGTTCATGGGGTCATTCGTCATCCCGGTGTATTTTCTACCCGAATGGTTCCAGATCGTCCAGGCCGCGAGCCCCATGCGCAGTGGCGTCATGCTTCTGCCGTCGGTGTGCACCCAGGTGCTTGGATCCCTCGTCTCCGGAATCCTAGGTAAGTCAAGCTTAGGGCATGCTCTCCCCGTTTTCCCAGCAAATCCACAACTAACGCCGGAATCCCCATAGCCAAGCACCTCACCTACTACAACCCGTGGCTCTTCATCGGCTCCGCCTTCCTCTGCATCGCCAACGGGCTGTACACAACCTTCACTGTCTCCTCAGGACCCGCCGCATGGATCGGGTACCAGATCTTCCAGGGCCTGGGCTGTGGCGTTGCCGCCCAGATCCCTTTGCTGATGGTGCAGCTGGCACTGAAGGATCGGCCGCGCGACGTTCCTGTTGCGATCGCCACGGTTCTTTTCACGCAGTACTTTGGGAGTGCGGTGGTGCAGAGCATCGGGGGAACCATTTTTCAGACTGAACTGAGAAAGCAGCTGCGGGATCGGGCTTCGTTAGGGTATACGCAGGTGGAGATGCTGCTTGAGGCTGGGACCCGCGGGATGCGCGAGGTGGCTACCCAGGCGTTTCCGGATCGGTTGGCTGAGGTGGTTGTTGCGTATGACAAGGCTATTACTACTGTGTTTGTGAGTTGATTCTCTGGGCTTTGTGAGGCGTGTGCGCGCTACGCTGACGGTGCTTGGTCACTAGTATCTTCCCGTAGCTGGGAGCGCTCTGGCGTTTATACTAGCCGGCGGGATCCCATGGGTCAATACTCGCTCGGCGCAGGGAAATGGTGACTTGCTTTGTGCAGAGCGAAGTGAGAAATCTCAGTCGGATGAGCACGTTACTGTGTGAGGAACTAGCTTGCTGCGCGTGGTCATTGGGTATGCAACACTGACTCTAGAGGTTCTGGCGGTATCAATGGTAACATTAATGCAAAATGCAAAAGATGGCCAGGAATGGGAAGGGTATACTCTTGAAGGAGGGTGATATATTGACCCAGATAGATTATATAACTAATACTAATGCAAACCAATGGGAAAGGGAACCTCGATCATTTGGGTCAATCCTATAGTGCGTACCGGAACTCCTTGTCCTGCTTGTCAGTCAGGTCATTGCTGGGTAAACCATTCTCATCGAGTTCGATGTGCGGATCAGTCCCCTGCAGCTCCGAAGACCTCATCTGCGCGTCACGCTTGCGGTTGTCGGCCGCACATAGAAAGCGGTAGACGATGACGGCCACGAAGAGGAGACACCATGTCACAATGGAAGTGATCACGCCCTCGGTATACCGTGGCTTGTGCGTCCACAGCTGTGGTGAGCCGATGCAGCCCGCCGAGTAGCCTATGAAGAACATGGTGTTCACGATCGCCCGTTTGGTGTTGCCCTTCACATTTGAGGCGGAGAGGGAGAGAAGTATAGACATCGATGCTGTAATGCACGAGGACTAGACAGGGTCAGCATTGGTTTTAATTTCCAGAGCCATCGTACCAAGGCCCCGCAAGTATTGTGCATGTAAACTCACCACCCAAGCAGCAACGATGAGCCCCCACTCCGCCGCCACGTCAAGCTTCATCAAGAACACCGTCCCCACCAGTGGCGGGATGATCAGCAGCAGAACCACCAGACTCCGCTGCCGCGGAAACCAGTACACCAGCGCCGTCCCCACCCAAAGCAAAGCGACCTGCACGGCCCCGGAGGGGGCCGTGTAGAGCATCGTCTCCAGCTTGCTATAGCCAATCGATTCGATGACCAGCGACGCAAAGGTCAAGACGGGGGACTGCATGGTGACCAGCACGCCGAACCAGAATACGGCCCAGGCCTTGGGGTCCAGCAGGGCCTCGCGCAGCTGCGGCAGGGCGAAGGACGTCTTGTCGCCGCCCTCGCGATCCTCGGCCATGCGCAGCGATAACACCGTCTTTTCGCGCGCGGTCAGAAACCAGGCGTCCTTGGGCCCGCTGGGCATCAGCACGAAGAACCCGATCCCCGCCGCCACGGTGAGCGCGCCGCAGAGCAGGAACAGCACCCGCCAGGGGGCGATTGCCAACGAGGAACTGTTCTTGCCGATGCCGTACATCAGCAGACAACCAATCACTTGGGCGACGCCGTTCATGGTGATCCAGAGCGCCGTCCGCACCGTGTGCTCCCTTTTCCGGTACCAGGTCCCCGTGATGGTCACGAATGCCGGGGAGACGGCCCCCTCGCTGAAGCCGAGGAGGAACCGGACTGTCGCGAAGCCGGCAAAGTTTCTCGGGACGGCCAGGCACATGCAGATGATTCCCCATATGATACTGTCATGGAAATTGGGGTACCCATCAGCTCGACTTGTTTTGTGTCTGCTGGTCGCTCTGAGGATGGGGGAAACGTACACGGTTGCTCCCACGAACTTGGTCAATGGGAGCCGACTCATCAGATAAATGAAGGGATATTCCGCGACAAGCTGGCCGACATAGAAGATCGAGCTGGACCATGAGTATTGTGAGTTCGTTAGATTCAGATCTTCGATCAGGCCGAACACGGCCGCATAGCTCAGACTCTGCTTGTCGAGGTATTGCAGGAAGAATACGAAGCACATCTGCGATGATGAGCACTATCAGCTTCGTGCATCTTTGTTGAATCCTAGTTGGAAAACTCACGAATGGCAGAACGACCATGTCAATCTTGCGTAGCACTGCCTTTTCTTCTTCCGCGGTATACGTATCTGATCCCACCGCGACAACCTCGCTACTCCTGCGAGTGCCCTGGTCCTTTTTCTCTGGGTCGTTCATTGTTGGAGGAGGAGAGGAGTGAGCTTATGTGTCTTGGGCAGTTGAAAGGAAGCAATATGGAGACATTTGGCTTGGCTGAGAATAGGACTGGTGTTGAGTATACAGCCTGTTTGCTGGTCGACTCGGATCCCACAACACAAAGTAGGATTCACCAGGTATGATATATGGCCGGCATCACACCCCAGATTTCTCAATTGACCAATCAGAAATCCTTATCTTTCCAAGTTCAAGTTCTAGTATGAAAGTTGTTCAATAAACGACGTTGATAAGGGTGACCAGCGATACGAAGGAATGAATGATGGGTGAGGGTCATCGATCCGATGCCAACTCGGCAATCTGCAATCTGCAAGGCCAACTTCCCGACAAGGACAAGGTCATCCATCCATCTGCAATGCGACGACCATCACCAACCATATTTCAGCCATCTTTCCTAGAGAGTCTTCTTGATTTCTTCCCCCCCCCCCCCCCCTTGACTTGATCAACTGAGTGAACACATAATACTCATCATGCCTTATCACCCACCAGTTCCAGGCTCCGACATCAAGCCTTGGGCCCGCGCAGCCCCGCGGGGGTATCTCTTCACCAACGCCAACATCGTGGATGTACAGGAAGGTCGTATCCTAGAGAATGCCAACCTCATTACCCGCCACGGGAAAATTGAACTCGTCTCTGCAGCTTCTCCTTCGCCCGAGGCTTCCTTTCCTTCCGACCTGAAAGTCATCGACTGCAAAGGCCGCTATCTATGCCCGGGCCTCTTCGACGCCCACGTCCACCTGTGCGCCGTCCCGGGCTACAAAGACCTCTCCAAAGCGTTCGGGAACTCAGACCACGCATCCCTACTGCGGCAGCCCTTCGTAGCAGCCCAGATGCTGCACCGCGGCTTCACGAGCGTCCGCGACTGCGGAGGCGCCCAGCTAGCACTGAAGGAAGCCATCGACGACGGGGTCTTCCCGGGGCCCCGACTCTTCATCTCGGGCCACGCCCTCTCCCAGTTCGGCGGCCACGGCGACCTGCGGGGCCCGCACGACCAGACCGAATGCTGCGGCGGCCTGCACCGCAACAACCACCTGGGCCGGCTCTGCAACGGCGTGCCGGAATGCATGTCCGCCGTCCGCGAGGAGATCCGGTGTGGCGCCGACTTCATCAAGATCATGGGCTCCGGGGGCGTCGCCTCCCCGACGGACAAGCTCGAGCACCTGCAATTCACCAGCGCCGAGCTCGAAGCCATGGTGGAGTGCGCGGACAACGCGGGCACGTTCGTCACCGCGCACGCCTACACCGTCAAGGCCATCCGGCACTGCATCGACCACGGCGTCCGGGGCATCGAGCACGGGAACTTCGTCGACCCGCCCACGGCCCGGCTGATGGCCGAGCGCGGCGTCTACCTCACCCCGACCCTGATCGCGTACGCGCAGATGGCCTCCGACCAGTGGCAGGGCTACCTGCCGCCCGAGTCGCAGGCGAAGAACGCGCAGGTGCTGCAGTCCGGGCTGCAGGCCCTGAAGATTGCGGCGGAGGCGGGCGTCACGATGTGCTACGGGTCCGATCTGCTGGGGCCGTTGGGATCGGCCCAGACGCAGGAGTTCGCCTTGCGCGCGCAGGTGCTTTCCCCGCTGGAGATCCTGCGCAGTGCGACGGTCCATCCCGCGCAGATGATGGGTTGCGGGGATGTGATCGGGCAGATCAAGGAGGGCTTTCGCGCGGATGTGGTCTTCCTGAACCAAAATCCGCTCGAGGATGTGACGGTCTTTGATCGGCCGGAGGAGCATGTGCTCGGGGTGATGAAGGATGGCCGCGTGTGTAAGAGTCGCTGGAGCGCGCTGGCGGAGGATGCGGAGATTCCGGTTCGTGTTCAATATAACTGACTTATGGGAGTAGAGGTAAGGAATTTATTTTTGATCCTCCCAGTGAATGAGCCTTTCTGGGGGTCTGGCTTTTCCCAATAATACTGGTCTTGTGGTTACAGTGTAAGAAGCTCTTTGTGTGTTGAGTGATTAGCTCAAATGCATGCGTGAGTTCCTAACAAGGAAAGCGCGAGACGGCTGTGACTGCTTCAAGTGGGCATCTACAAAGAGCGTGATAGGAGTAAGGCGTGGCTGTGACTTCTCCGACTAAATGCCATTAATGTAATATGCAAGTGACTTCTACAAATCTTGGTTAAATGATGATAAGTACGATCATTCCATTTGACCCATCAGACCCGAGAAATCCAGAGCATCGCCTAGAGCATCTAGTCCAGTTAGCCCCATCAAGAACGACTGTTCATCGTTGTGTAGGCCGGAGAAAACGTCATTTGGCAAAAACGGATAAGAAGATCTCGAAGACGTATTCGAATAAACCTCAGGAATGGATGATGCCTCTGGGATGTGTTGCTCCATCGGTGTTTGCCAGGTGGCCGGTGCTGCCAACCATGACTCCGCATACCGGTCTTCACTATCTCCTCTCGAAGGGATTTCTTCTCGTGGCCCAATTCCACAACATTCACGACTTCTGGGGTCTTCTTGTACGGCGAACCACTCCAGCCACTGGTTGTAGCCCAAATGCGCATCCAGGTTTGGAGCCCCTCGAGACATGGCATGATTGTCACGTTGTTGCAACTTGCTCGCAGCTTCATTTGTGATCGATTGCACCGCTTCAACAAAGCTCACACCCAATTTGGCGGTCATATTCCCCGTGGCCATCTTCCGCAGACAGTTGAATCCCAGCTCCACCCGACTATCGTACCCCGAGTCGCGTTCCAAGATCCCTGAGACCAGGGTAACGATAGTTGCGATGCTGCAGCCCTGGAAATCGGTGAACGAGAACCTGGTGATGACTCGATGTCGCGTCAGGCTCTCGAAGAGGCGTAGAATTTTTCTCGCGGCTTTTGTGCAGTCATTGGCCAGGCTCTTGACCTTGTCGCTGATCTCCAGTGCGTCGCAATCAGCGGGCGGTTTCAACTTGGTCCTAGCCAAAGTCACTAAGGCGACCTTGCCCATCGTGATCATTGCATAGTAGTAGTTCAGGTAAAGATGGGCTATGGCTCGATACTTCCAGCTGCTTGGAGGGATCTGGTCGAGTTTCAGGTTGGGGGGAAGTGATCGCTTCCATGCTTTGAGGTCATCTTTCCATGTCGATTGGGATATATCTGCTGAGCTGGGTGATCCATCACTAGAGTATGTCAGTATAGTTGTCTTCCTCATGTGAGGGAATGTAGCATACGCAGGACCGGCGATTTCGTCAAGTATTCTGACCAAGCGAACGTAAGCCAGCTGGCAGTCGAGGTTCTCGAACGATTGAGCTCGGTCAAAGACGGCGTTCTGAGACGGGCATGGCGCCGTAATTATTCGAGTATCAATTGAGCGAGGCCGGTTCAGCTTTACAGTGGTACAACTTTGACCGACTTAGCAGAAATGCCAGTGGAGAGAGGGAGGGCCTTGGAGCACGAGCCACGCACCGTTCCAGCGCATAAATAGACCACCAAAGACGACATCTCACTTCTATATCTCGCTCGGTCATGGACAGATCTTCTGAGTTGAGATGCAGATCGCATGCTAGAGCTTTTCGTAATGCCAGTCCCAGATAAACGTAGGATGTCCCAATCGCACTTGCAGGCATGAAATAAACTCCCAGGACAAATGGGGCTTGAACGGATCTCAAGCATGAGCGTTCGATGATATCCGGTATGAGGGTCTTAGCATGAACCGCAAATCTATGTCCGAGATCTACATTCTCTTTGGGTAGTAGGCTAGGCTCGAATCCTTCGGGCTTCTCCAGCGGTGTCCACTGACTTCCCAGAGCGAAGGTGGCCATGGCAAGGCAGACGAAGGCTGAATCAAATCTCAAAGATGAGCCTGAGTTCGTATAGAACTCATCAAAGTCGGCGAGCATCTGAGCTTGATCGAAATAGAAAAAAACATCGGTGGCGTGCTTCATGAAGACGTGGAGCAGGAAGTCGGCCACTGGACGGGGAGGGAACGCATCGATGGCTGCTTGTAATCTTGATAGTTCGGAGGGATGCAGCCCTTTTGGTTGAATCATTCTCTTGAAACAATCAGTCACACAGATATCCGCTGCGTTGCAGCGTGGGATCATACCGCCTGCATCGCGACCATCTCCCGTTCTTCCGGAGCATGATGGGGGCCGAGCGAGAACGCTTCTCGAAGCCGAGATAGAAAATTGGGCCACAAAACTCGCTTCGACTGATCTGCAATGACGTGTGTTGATAGACCCTGCGACAGAACAGAGGCTGGGGATAAAAGTTCGGAGTGATCAACCGCTGCATGATCTGGCAACCGTCTTGTAGAATCGATGGCTGCGCTCGGGGATTGCGCTGGGACTTGGGTAAGCGACGATTCAGTCCCTGGCGAGTCTCCTCTAGCAGTTAGCAGTCAGTCGCGTAGCCCAGATTCGATGAGAGAAAATAATTAGGTTTCATACTTCTCGAATTTACAATCTAAATTCCTGAGTGTACATCGCTGACATTTGTGGTGTGCATCCATACGAGGGCTGCCCCTTGCTGGGATGCACTTGCTTTTCCTTCTCTTGCATAGAGTGCACCTGTCAGTCCTTGTCAGTATGCAATCGATTGGTAAAGCGTGTACAATGACCATTGGCTCTCACGCTCGTGGTGCTCTCTTTCGATCCACATCTGCAACGCGCCGCCGTCTTCTCCGCCTATCTGCAGTACTAGTCAAATCCATGGTCATTAGAGCCCTGAGCAGTTAGGACGCGGCAATCTGACACTCAGATGACGACTTCAATCAAACTCATCGAGACTTCTAGATTCCTAGGCATCTGCGGACGTGCACAGAGATGAGTGAGTCGGCAATCTGTCCCGGACAAAGTACATACAGACATCCGACCCGCGCCTCCGCTTATCTTCTCCGCATTTCGGTGCGGGGGTTTGCCGACGCGATTGATAGCCGTTGATAACCTTACCAGTCAGCTTTCAGTTCGCTAGAGTATTGATTTTGTACTTGTGGAAAGTATTGGAAAGTGCAATTGAGAATGCTCTTCACGAGCCTATCTACTGGAAGCCACTGACTGCCCTGCCAAAGCTTAGTCCCGCTTACAAAATCCGGATATGCTAACACGGCTATTTACAGATCTACAGTACATCCAACAAGAGCCGCCGCCGCCAACGTAAAAACCAGAATCACCTCAGAAAGAGACACGCTTCTCTTCGTCTGAATCATTTCACATCACTCTACTACATCCACAAGCAGATCTTCCCGCTTGCCGTACCGCCCGCCACCCAGTTCTTACTCCGATGGAAGACCGCCACCGCGGGGACAGCCGTGATGCCCTCGCCGCCGAGCTGAGCCAGTTGATCCCCGGAGGCGCTGTAGACATCGACAAAGCGGTTCATGTTGCCAATGCAGAAGCGCTGGATGGGGGACTGGGGGTTCTGCTGCCACTGGGGGCGAAGGCTTGGGATATTGTCAGCATTTGGGTCCTTCCAGCGATAGTGAGGGTATTGTTTGTTTTTGGGGAAACATACATGGTCACCCATCGTCCCGTCTGGCAGTTGTGCCTGACGACCGTCTGGGGCTTCAACTCGTCTTCGGAGAGTGTGTGGCCTTTGTCCCACGTGTTGATTCCCCTGAGGCCGCTGAGGTCGTAGATCTTGATGGTGTCGTCGTACGAGGAAGTGGCAATTTGACCGGCACTGTTGAATGCAGCATGCGACACGGAGAGTCGACTGTAGTGCTCGCCGACGGGAACCCAAGAGGGCTGCTCGTCGTCATCTTCTTGTACCTGGCGTCGGGTGGACCGCCCAGCAGCTTTGGTGGGGGCTTGCAGCATGCGGAGATCCCAGAGGCGCATGGACCGATCGAGCGAGGCAGTTGCAAAGTAATGGGGTCGCGCGGGGTAGAGGGAGAACCCTCCGATCTTCTTCTCGGCGAGACGCCAGGTGGTCACGGACTGCGGTTTCGAGCGCTCGAGACGCGTGTCGTAGCGCCCAAATTCACCGTCGAGGGTTGTCCAGTAGAGGACGTGCGGGTCGTCGGCGGCCATATCAAGGCCCGAGATGGGTACATCGTCGGAGGTGGATTCGGGAGCGTATTGCTCGACGCTGGTGGACTTCTCGAGGTCGGTCGCGCGGATGCTGCTGTCGTAGCTGGCGGTGTAGATGCGGGTTGGGGTGGAAGGGTGGATGTAGATGGAGCTGATGGTGCGAGTGTGCGGTTTGAGGGTGGTGAAGCTGGGGTCGGGGTCCTCATCGTCCTCGTCCTCGTCGCCGGACTCCTCGGCCTTGATCGCGTTGTTCCGTTCTTGCGATGCGTCAAGGATGCCGATGTGGCCCAATTTGTCGCCAGCAAAGAGAAGCGGCTTCGTCTCAGTGGGGTGGAAGGCCATAGTGTAAATTCTTTCCGGGGTGAGTTTGATGCCTGTTGTGGACGTTGTGATTAGTATAGAAGTCTCAAAATTTGGGGAGTGAGGGTAAACGGACGGTTGGGCTCCCATGCATCCCACAGCTTCAATCCGCTCATCTCCTCCCTCAATGCTTTTAGGTCTTTATCCGTCGTCTGCTCGATATCATCCTCGTCAAACGTGCGCTGGTACGGCATCGCTACGCCCTTGGTGACCACATCCACCCCGATCAAACTATCCCCCGCCAGCTTCTGCCCGTACACCACCATCTCATTGAACGAGAAGGCGTCCGACTTGCGCACGCGCTTCGCCCGCTCCGCCGCCTGCAGCGCCGCATCCACCTCCTCCGCTTTCCGCTTCGCAACCTCGCTCTCCGCCGCGATGCCCCTCAGTCGCGACGACATCCGGCGCGGCACCGGCGACGCCTCCTCCTGTTTGACGCGCTTCACGGGCGTTTTCTTCTTCGCGCGAGCGGACTGATCCCGCGATGAAGGGGTCCTGGAAGGCTGCATCTTAGGCGGGAAGAGCCCCGAGGACTGCGCCTCCAGGGAGAGCTTCTTGAGGAGCGCATCGCGTTCGGCGATGTTGGCCAGACGCTGCTTTTCGAAGTCGGAAATCTCCTCGCCCATTGTTTCTTTAAGAATGGTACTTTTAGGTATCGATGATTAATGAAGGACAGATCAAAGGCTAGAAAATCAGACAAGAGGAGATAAGACGGGGTGAGTGGCACACGTAAGAAAGAAGCTTTGAAGAGGGAAAAGAGTGAGTGAGTGGGACTGCGATGCATTTGCTGGAGAAAGCGGCGCGTCTGGGCCCGCCGCGTGGGCACGTGACTTTAATTGACCGGGCGGCGGCAAATGGCAAAAGTGAAATAATTTCAATTCCTCCGCGGAAGTTTATTCCATAGAATTTTTGGTCCGCAAGCCTGGGGGTTCTTATTTTCGCCTTCTGATTCTCTCCCACCACCACCTTTTGCATTCGTGTTATATACACACTGCAGGAAGAGCATGATGAGTGCTCGCAACGCTCGCGCCTGGCTGGCCCTGGCCCGAGCAACTCGCAACTCCTCCGTTCCATTCCTCTATCAGACTCGCACGCTCGCCGCGGTGCCCAAATTGCGATATCAGCACCGGCAGCTCCAGCGTCAACAGATTCAGTCAATGTTAATGTCAACCGAGGCGCAACAACAACAGCAGTCACAGGAACAATCACAGGAACAAAATGACAACACAGAATACTCCAAACCTGACCCTTCAGCACAAGAAAGCACACCACCAGCACCCCGGCCCGGACGCCGCAGCTTCCTCAAGCGCAAGGCCGCCTCTGTATCCTCCATCGCTGCCCCAGCGCAATCATCCTTAAATCGACCCAAACCCCCTCCCCGCGCCTTGACGATGATGACAAACAGCGAGAAACAAGCCTTTGGCGAGATGCTCGAGGCCCTTGGCGCCGGAGCCAATCTCAAGCCCAATAGCGCGTTACCCACATTGTCCGCATGGCCACCGCCGCCGCCCCAACCCTCAGCGCCTGGCGTTGCTTTCCCGGATTCATCCTCTCCCTCCGAAACCGAACAACAATACGAAACTAAATTTCAACCTCCCGCCGCCAACGAACCCACCGAAGACGAACTCCACGAAATGTCACAGATCTCCGCCATCTTCGAGTCCGTCCTCCAGGATCTGAAGGAGCGCAAGGCTCGGCAGCAGCGGCAAGAACAGCAAAAGTTGGAGAAGCGGGGCCAATCTTCCCTGGTGACCCCGTACTCGACCTCGTACCATGCCGGGGGTGACGACCCGGCGGCGTTGCCGGCGAGTTCCTCGCTGACGGAGTTCATCGAGTTGCGGCTGAAGAGAGGGGATTTCATCAACGCGCAGCTGACGGACTGGCTCACGCGGAACCTTGTCTCGACGGAGCGGGCGGTGGAGGCGGTGGTGCTGCGCGAGAGCCATGTGATCGAGACGGCGCTGCTGAGGGCGGTCAAGGAGGAGCATGGGGACAGGAGGCTCTGGGATGCTTGTCGCGAGATGGTCTTTCCGCTCGTTCGTGTTTTGGAGACGGATGTGGGGATGCAGCATTCCGACACGAACGCGGACGAGACGGAGATGCTCAAGGATGAATCTGACGACATGTTCTTCGCGCCGGAGGAACCAGCGGAGGTGGAAGATGATCCTTGGGGCGCTGAGGTGGAGGTGGAGTATGAGGAGGTCAGTGAGCCGCAGGAGACTGAGACTTCGACGGCCGCGAACGGGGAAGGACAGCAGGAGGGAGAGGCAGCGACAATCAATGAGGAGGACATCGAGCTTCAAGGGGAGAGTGCGTACAAATTGATTCTCCCCGAGGGCGTGCCCGTCTCCTCGGTCGTCGCCGAACTATACCCCAAGATGCTCCTGGCCGCCTTCCGCCTGCTGAACCTGTACTGCCCGGCGTCGCCGCTGATCGGCCAGTTCCGGTCCACCATCCGCCTGATGGGCCCCACGTCCGCCGTGCTGGGCGGCTCGACCGGGCTCTACAACGAGCTGATCTACTTCTACTGGCGCGGGTGCCAGGACCTGCCGGCCGTGGTCGCCCTCATGCAGGAGATGGACGTCACCGGCGTGGAGCCGGACGCCCGCACGGTGCGAATCCTGGGCTCGATCGCCACCCAGCGCACGCGCGATCTCAAGGCGCACTGGAAGCGGAATATCGGATCGCTCCCTCGGCCGCGGAACCCGGGAGAGAAAGTGCGCGTCGGCCGCGAGACGTGGTGGGATCTGGCGCCGAACCGCAAGGCCATCCGGGCCCTGTACGACGACGACGGGTGGGTCGCCAAGGTGAAAGCGCGGGTCGAAGAGCTGAGGCGCCGAGAGCAGATGAACAAGACCCAACGACGAACCTAGCAGCGTCAAGGGTCATGCATAGAAAGAGTTCGGAAATATCCCCTATCGTGTATAATATCTTGTAAATCACATATCCAAACCCCAGAACAGTATACAAGCGGCGAATTCTGTCGATGAACAAGATCTAAAAAGATAATTAAATATGATACCAGACTCCCCTGTTTTCTCTTTCTTAAATCTTCAACCCCCAACTCCGTCCCAAACCCACCGCCGTCGACCCCATGAATCCCAGGCACTCCCTCACCCCCGTGAGCTTATCCCCGACAGCGCGGGCATCCGCCCACCGACGCGCCACGAACTCCTCCGTCTCGCGCAGCCCGGCACTCGTGTCGCGGGTCATCACGAAATCCGAGGCCGCGTACACCGCCGCCACCGCCATGCGCTTCGAGTACCACGAGGCGTCGACGGACTTGTCACCCGCCAGGTTGAGGATATCGTCCGCCAGGGCGTGCAGTTCCGAAAGGGAGAGGGGGATGTTTTCTCCGAGGGACATGACGGCCAATGCCTGGTTTCGCAGAATAGAATGTGTTAGCATCGTTGTTGTTGTTCCTTTGCGCGTGTGTGTGTGCGTGGTTGCTCTCTGGCTGGGAGTTCAAGGGGGGTGTGGGGGGGAAACTCACATCCTGCCATTGATCCTTGACCTCGGCGTTCATGCGCAAGCGCTCCATCAACAGGATCTGGATCTTGTCGTCGACGGAGAGCACGGGGCCGGCCGAAAACAGGCCGTCGGATTCGACCTTGGAGCGCAGGAGGCCGCGGCGGCTGGCGAGCCAGAAGAGGATCAGGTCGAATTCGCCGCGGGGGAGGAGCTGCACGGAGACATCCAGGAAACCGGCGTCGCGGGCACCCAGGGTGAGGGCGTTGCGGGAGAAGCCGTGCGTGGGGACGTGGTGGAGGGCGGCGGAGAGGATGGTGGTTTGCGAGTTGGTGTAGTCGTGGGGTTGGGTGGGGTGGTGGTCGGAGTGGTAGGTGCGCGTGGTGGGAGACAGACGGTTGGGGCGGGATGGGGTTGTTCGAGAGGTGACTGTGAGGTTGTTTTGTCGGGGGGTGGTGGTGGTGGTGGTGTGGATTTGCGATTGGGGCTTGGGCTGGCGGAGATGGGTTCGGGGAGCGAGGGGGAGGGCGGCGCGCGGGGAGGAGGCGTGGGAGAGTCCTCTCCGGGTGAGGGTGAGGAGGGAGGTTGGTCGGATCATGGTTCAGGGAGGTGTTTTCTATGGTTGTAAAGGAGAGGGTTGAAGGGAGTTGGAGGAGAAGGTAGAGAAGGAGAGATTTGCGGTGCTGATGGGGGTTGAAAGAAAGTCGGGATGTCGGCGGGAGGAATTTGTTAAGCGGTGGCCTGAGCGGAGCCAAGATTGCCTGCAGTGCCAGACTCGCTGGTGCCGGGGTGAACCACTGAAATGGTTTAACTGCAGTGGGATTGGTCTGTGGTTGATGTTGACCATGTGGGTGCATTTGGAAATACTCGGATTGAATTGTTGACTTTATTGTTCGTATTAGTGTCTGGTACTAGAGCTGGATTATGCTATTAAGAAGTAGTCAGAATGCCTCCTACGCAGACAGTAAAGTACAGTACTTCGTCCAACACCTACTAGAGGAAAGTCAGGAAAATATGTAGACGGTAATCAATAAAGTCAATGCTCCACTACCTAAATACATAGACTCAGTCCCAGAATCTTATGAATATTCATCTCGTAGATTGTTGGTCCAGGTAACTAGTTCTGCGGTACCTGAAGATCTCCCCCCCTCAATGACCATTGGCAGTGGTTGGTTCTACTATAATCGGGATTTTTGTTGTAGTGGAGCTAACAGTCTTTCAATAACAACCATTGTTAAATAGTTAGATCTGATCGATCTGACTGATCTCTTCTTCTACGGAGTAGTGATCCTGTTTATGCACTGGTAGTAAGGGTAGTGTCCAGTCACGAAGGGACTAGTTTATAGATCATTCTCGCAGTCATTACTGTCGAAACTAACGGACTATTTCAGACTACTTCCGACTAGCGATGTCCCTTTCATCTTATCTTTTCCCTCCGTTCCTTCGACCCCCGCCCACTCATCCTGTCATCATCCGCATCTGCATTCCACGTCCTCTTCTCCCATCCACTCATCCGCCTCCCTTTCCACTCACACACACCTTTTATCTTCTGCCCTTTTCCCTACCTCCCCTACTCTGACCGTTTTTTTGCTGCCGCCTTCACAATTGATTATCCAGAAACCATCATGGGTGGGTTTGTCTTTCGATTGTCTCTCGTCCCGTCCTACTTGCCTTGCTTTTCGTTTCCTGCCTCATTGAATCTTCCTCATCACCCCTCCCTCCGTGGATAATACTTTGCCATCCTCCTCTCCAGACGAGCCAGGCCAGTGACTGCACGTTCATGTCTGGTGCATCCGCAATGCCCTCTCCCCTGTAGACGCCGTCCAGTCGAGCCCTTGCCCGAGTAAGAGACACAAGAAGCCAATGATACACAATTGGAGAGAAGGACGAAGGCTGTGGCGTCTATGCCACCCTCGTTCATGTCTCTTATCAGTTCACTTCAATTGCTGGCTGGCATGGAGACCATGTCAGGTTCCAGGTTGTCTCTGAAGCTGTCAGTCAGGGTGACAAGAGGAAGCGGGCAGCGGGAAGAAGGGGAACCAACGAGGCCAATCACATACGGTGGACCTGCAGGTTGAGGAGAGACAGACACGGGCCGCCTGGAACCATGAGTGATTGTTGACTGACTGCTTGCTGGCTGGCTTGCTGCTGCTACTGCTGGTGGTGGTTGCTGGTGGTTGCTGGCTGATGGGTGTTATTGTGCTCCTACTGCTGCTCTTGTTCTCGCTGCTCTTGCTCTCACTGCTCCTACTCTTTCTTCCATTCTACTGCTACTACCTACCTACCTACCTACCTACCTACCTACCTACCTACCTACCTACCTACCTACCTACCTACCTACCTACTACCTACCTACCTTACCTTACCACCTTACGATTACTACCACTACTACCACCACTACCACCACTACCACTACCACCATCGTTTCCGTCTGCCAACCAACGAGTGTTCGTTCCCTTTTCCCAACCCAACCCCCCCCGCCGTCACCCTCCTTTATCTCTTGCTCGCTCTCTCGCTCTTCTCTACCTTAGTTTAAGTGTTGGTCTCGCCTTTCTTCGGTTGATTACTGATTCTACCCTCTCCTCCCTCTCCTCTCCTCCCCTCTCTCCCTCTTCACATTCCCATCTCCATCTTTCCTTTCCCCATCGTTCCCCTCTCCTTCTCCTCTACTTCTCACCTCACTTGCTTCCCATTTCAATCAGTTCTCACTTCCCTTTTATCGTCTTCAATCTTCCTAGCTTGGTAAATTCCTGGATGGTTCCTTTGTCTGTTTAAACCCCGACCATTGGCTTGGTGGCTTACCATCTAGATCCGGTGTGCAGCCGACGTGTATCGACCTCACCAAGTAAGTGTGGGATTTTCTTCGATTGTGTTTTCTTGGTACTGCTTTGTGTTGTGTAGCGAAACGACTACTTTGTCCCCTATGATCCTTCGCTTCTTCATCCTGGACAGGAATCGAGGCAAAGGGCAGAGCTAGAGAAGAGGGAGGTAGGCACTGCGAACGAGAGAGTATGGGAGAGGAGGAGGAGGAGGAGCAGCAGCAGGAGGAGATGAACCACCGGGTCCCCACCCGGGCGGTTGTAGCCTTCCTCTTTTTGCTGCTGCTCTGGTGGTGCCGGTGGCTGCTGCTGGCTGCTGCTGGCTCCTCTTCTCCGCCTGGGGCAAGACGCACCGACCACTTTATCGTCTGCTTCTCTCATGCTTCAGTCTCGCGACCAGGGCTTTTGTCTTGTCTTCTCTTATCTCTGCCTTCCTACCTGCCTAACTACCTGCCTACCGATCCTCATTGTCTTTCTTTGCCTTCAACTGGGATCTCAAGTCTTGCTTTCTCTTTTCTTTCCATACTCCATTACGGGTCGCCTCCCCACTGTTCAGGCAAGGTCCTTTTTGAGTCGTGCTGCTTGATTCCCAGTTGAGTCTGGCCCGCACCGGGTCCGAGAGTCACCTGACTACCTATCTTACCAGCCCGGCAACTCGGACCAATCCATCCCTCCCCCTGTGCTGCCGCTGCCGCCGCTGCTGCTGCTGCTGCTGCTGCTGCTGCTGTTCGCTGCTTTGCTGCTTCCCGACTCCTCTCTTCCCTTCAACTCTTCCCAACTCATTCCCATCTTCTGTTACCCGTCCGTCCCATCTTTTATCCTTTCCATTCATCCCACACCCAACACTCATCTCCTCCCCCTCCTCCTCCTCCTCCTCCTCCTCCTACATTCCTGTCCCAATTCTGATTAGGGACCTTGCGCGCACATTCTCCACCTCCTTTCCCCTAATTTTCCCTTTCCTTCCGCACGTCTTTTCTCCCCTCCGTCCGTGCCCGGTCTTACCTGCGGCGCGCTCAATTCTCGCTCCTCGTCAATGTCTCCACCCGCCTTTGACGATACTGACCACGCCCAGCGCGAGAGGTCCCGTTCTCCCCGTCGCCGTTCCCGTAGCCCCCGACGCAGCCGTCGTTCCTACTCTCCTCGCAGTCGCTCACGCAGTCGTGAGGACTACCGCCGTTCCGATCGTCGTTCCCGCTCGCCTATGAGTGCGGCTCAAGGCCCTTCTGGTGGTCATTCATCTTCTGGTTACGGTGGGCGCAGCAGCTACCCGCCTCCGGCTCGGTCATACGAAGAACGCGCTGTTCACAAAGAACAAATGATGCAAGCCGTCCGCGAATCGTCCCAGCAAGACCGTCGGGTCTATGTGGGCAACCTTTCCTACGATGTCAAGTGGCATCACCTCAAGGATTTTATGAGACAGGGTGAGCAGGGTCACATCGTCTCGAGCGTCTGGTTCGCTCGTGTCGTCGCTATCGAATTTGAGGGCTGACTTTGGAGGGGGATTCACCCGCGTTGCGTGTCTACAGCTGGAGAAGTTATCTTTGCCGATGTCTTGCTTCTTCCCAATGGAATGTCGAAGGTGGGCGCCAATGCGTAGTGTGGCTGGTTTTTTTTTTTCTGCCCTTGTTGTTATTCCTGGACTCTCCCCTTCCCTTTCCCCTCTCGTTGGTTTGCTTGTTATGGACTGTTTGGGTTGACGGGCTGGGCCTGGCCGTCCGGGATACTGTAGGGATGCGGGTAAGGACTTCCTGGCGCTCAATGATTTTGTCGGAACGCCTGCTGACTCTTCGGGTAGGATTGTGGAATACGCGACCAGGGATCAAGCGCAAAATGCGGTCAACACCCTTAGCAACCAGAACCTGATGGGTCGTCTTGTCTACGTTCGTGAGGTAGGTCATGACTCGGCTTCAGCTATCAATAATTGCCGACTGATGGGATGGCTGTAGGATCGTGAACCCGAGCCGCGTTTCACCGGCGGACCTTCGCGTGGCGACTTTGGCGGTGCCGGTCGCGGCGGTTTCGGTGGTGGATTTGGCGGCGGCGGTGGTGCTGGTGGTGCTGGAGGTCGTCAGCTCTTCGTGTCCAACGTAAGTGCGGTCACTAAAAGCAATAAAATTGACGGAGAATTGATGGTGGGATGTCTAGCTTCCGTTCAACGTGGGTTGGCAAGATCTGAAGGACTTGTTCCGTCAAGCCGGTAAGTCACTCTAAACGGAAGGGCGCGGCGCCCTTTCAAGGGCCGCTTGCGTGAGTTCCGCTCGGACAGCAGCTAATTCTGTAGCTCAACAAGGTGCGGTTATTCGTGCCGATGTTCACACTGACGCCACCGGTCGGCCCAAGGGCTCCGGTATTGTCGCGTTCGAGTCCCCTGAGGACGCTCGCAATGCCATTCAGCAATTCAACGGCTACGACTGGCAAGGTCGGCCCTTGGAGGTCCGTGAGGACCGCTTTGCTGGTGCCGGTCCCGGCTTTGGGGGCCGCGGTGGCTTCGGAGGTCGTGGTGGTTTCGGCGGCGGTTTCGGCGGCCGCGGTGGCTTTGGCGGTCGTGGTGGTTTCGGCGGCGGCTTTGGTGGTCGCGGCGGCTACGGCGGCGGTCCTGGCTACGGCGGCCCTGGCGGTCCTCCCGGCGGCCCCGGCTTCGAGGGCGTCGCTTCGGTTCCTCCCAACCCCTTCACTGACTTCGCCACTTCCGGCGGCGAGAAGAGCCCCGTCATCTACGTGCGCAACGTGAGTTGAACCCTGACTTCGTTAAGAGTATTGGTGACTCATCCGGATATAGCTGCCCTGGTCTACCTGCCACGAGGACCTCGTCGACTTGTTCTCCACCATCGGCAAGGTTGATCGCGCCGAAATCCAGTATGAGCCCAATGGTCGCTCCCGTGGCACCGGTGTAGTTCAGTTCGATAGTGCGGACACTGCTGAAACTGCTATCGGTATGTGCAGGCCATTGCATTAAGGGCTAGTCCTTTTACTGACTCTTCACGCAGCCAAGTTCACAGGCTATCAGTATGGTGGTCGTCCCCTGGGCATCACCTTTGTCAAGTACCTGAATGTGGGTGGCCCTCCCGCGGACGCGATGGAGGGCCAGGAGCCCACGGCTCCCATTACTCAGGATCAGATCATGTAATTGTACCGGCCCGATGGAAATATCTCGGCTTTCGGAGGATTTGATCGAAAAAGTTTGCGATGTATGACTCCGAGTGGTTTAAAGGATCACCTGTCGGCGCGGGCTCGCGTATGCTGATTACCTTGAAATATCGCCCTTAACCTCATTCCCCATTTTCGATATTGTTTGTGTTCGATCTGTTCGATTCAAGTCACCTGTTATGACGTGTTTTATCGCTGCTTAGCTCTCGTTATATGTTTTCTCATCTCCGGCGATCTGGTTCCGTGGGGATAAATCAGACCTGGTTTGAAAAGTCCAAGAATGTGCGTGTGTACGCCGGGGTATGGGATGGGGTCTTGCGTCCGATGCAGTTGTGGTTTCTGTTGACTGCCCCCGACAAATTGATGGATCTGAACAGAGGATATGGTTTGGTGATGTGTTGGACCATCCCGTATTCGGTAGGTCTGGTAACGTGCAGTGGTAATGCGGTAGGCTGTGGTAGGCTGTGGTAGGCTATGTACAGTAAGTTCTGCAACATATTGTCCGGTGGGAGACTGTGGTTGTTCCCTTGGTCTCAACGGACGCAATCACGGGATACACCCGAAGACAACATCCATGTACAATATAGTTGGTCGTTGCCATCATATTTGACTATCTTATTCATGCACACTGGAATTAAGATAAAAAATGGCACAAACCCGTGTATACGTGGACTGCCATAATACATAAAACGTAAAAGATTAAGAATAATTGCACTCGGAATTCGCTCCTACTCAAGACAATACCTTCGTCTTAAATTACACCCAGTCTCGAAATCTACAGGGAGGGTGCAAGTGGTAGAGGTGGGTGGTTTATTGTACTTTTCCAAGGAAACGGACGGTGGTCCTCTTTTCATCGTCTGATGATTCAGATCTTCCTCACCATGAATGGTTAGGCCGGGAGGATGGTTACCACACAGACTGCAAATTCTTTTATCGTATTGTACGGAGTACCGTAGAAAGTGCCAGAAGAAAGTCAAGGGAATATGATAGATCCAGAACCGATACGATCAGAAAAGCCAGCTTTGAGCAACACCTAGATGGACTCAAACAGGAAGGGAATAAGAGAAGCAAGCAAAAAGAAAAGAAAAGCTCATCATCGACTCGACCTCAGGCAGCCAACACTCAAACAATGGTGATGGAGGGAATTGAAATCAGTGATGATGATGAGAAATGGGTGAAATAGATACAAGAGAAGTGTAAGTAAGTAAGAGGCAACAAAGAAGTAAAGCAAGCAAGCAAGAAAGAAATCAGGAAACGATAACCTTGAAGCCAAGACCCTTGAAGCAGAGAGCACTGGCTGCAGTGCAATGAGAAACCCCTCAGCCGATGAACCCAACCGACCAACCAGCCAGCCAACCAACCGCCTTATCCGTTTCCGTGCCGCCCGGCCACCCGGGAGTCTAACGCCTTTGTAAAGAGAAATAGAAAAGGAAGAGGTGACGAATATTGAAATAGAAAAAAAAAAGTTCAGCCGTGGTCAAAGTTCACTTGACCTGTCAAGCTGTACAGTAACTAACCCCCGGAGGGAGTTGACTGCCCCAATCCGGTTCCCGCTAGTCGAATCTGTCAGATTTTGTGACACAGAACGCCAAGAGCGATGGAGTGCACGGTTGTGTGAAATGTGTGGATATATAAAGGGACTGGGAAGAATTTGGGGTGAGATTTGTCAAAGTGAGGATATTTGAATTCTGTATCTCTCCTTCCCACATCTTGTTGTTGAAAATTTGTTTGTTGGTATGTGTCATGCATGAGAGCTCCTCAAATATGATTGAAGGTCAAAGGCGCACACATATCAGGATCACCACGTCATTGTCGTCAGGTCGTGAAGATATACAAAGGGAAAAAACATAGGAAAGGGTGTGACAAAGGAAAATGCTTTCTTGGGGTTGCAGGACTCTTTTCTTTCCGTCGGAGCTCCTTCCCCAAGTCAGCAGCATTTCAGATGATGGTAGATGGCCATTCGT